CATGTTGATCTAATTGTCGCACTCCATCATCAGTGTTCTGACAGTTTCGTTGCCACCTTAAAGCATGTAGTGGCAGTCTGTAAGCTCAACCTACGAAGTTTTCTGGGGCTCGCTCAGTTTAACTGAGCTGACCGGGGTTTACTACGGGTCGGTTCCCCTCAAATGGCTGCGGAGTACTTCTTCCAAATCGTAGGCGAGCTTTGGAAAACTCTTATATACCTATGGCCCTTCTTCCAAGGGCCGCCAAGCCGAGCTGGCGAATAATAGTAATCACTAAACGCAAACCACTAGATTTTGAAATGGAATAATTTTCTGGTCACCAATGGGTCCTATGGTCTAAAGTTGTAATCCTTTGGGAAGTATGCCAAGAGATGTATACAGAAGTTTGTTATTTCTATTTGTTTGCCCCACTTAACGTGAACTAGCAAATCGAAAACTTCGGAAAGCATACCACCCATCTGTTTATCGTATTGTCCGAAATGACAGGACGCTTACGACCTATCGGTAGGTCGTACGGACTTTTTTAATATATTCTGTTGATGACGACCCACCATCGAGTTCGCTACAGGTTGATTACTGAGACGCGAAATGATACATGGGTAATACATCAGACTCATTTTAAAGTTTTTAAGGGTTTTAAACGGTTTATGCCAACATCGTCTAAGTAACTTTTTATTGCAGTAAGTCACATCTTATTGCTAGTGACTATGCATTTCTCAGTAAGATGTCATTTTTGGAGGCAATTTCACAGACGAAGGGTGAAAATGTCATGCAAGCTTTGTGCTGAAATTCTAAGTTATACACCACTGTTCTTTATGTTATTCTCGTTCGCGATTTGTGCTTTGCTCTGCACTAATGAACCTCCTGAAGCAACGCCATCAAATGAAAAGATTGAAAAGGTTTGTACTTTTTTCTATGTTAGGTCAACGGTGTAATCCCTTTAGAGCGATGAAGACTTCGAAGAAACTTCCCCTTCACGAACGAATATCAGGTAAGAATGAAAGAGCAAAGCAGGGTAATTTCAAATTCGTTAAACTCGTCAAATTACTAGATTAAGCGAAGCCAGTGCAGAAGAGTGCACGAGTTTTGGTGCACAAACCAAATCGAGTGAAAATCAGTTGCTGAGTAAAGCCTTGACTGATCGTGATAAGATCTTGGTAAATTATCATAAAACTGATTTGCTTCTCTGCGCTTTCCACGTTCCAGTATTTGCTAGTTTTGGATTTTATGAGTTTACAGATGCTGTTGGACACAAACAATCTATGAGGAACGAGTAGCTGATGAACATTATTGAGACCGTACTTCTCTGGATTAGTTTTTTGCCTTCAAGCCCCCAAACTGTACCTCTTTGGGACTTCTTTTCTTTATAATTACAAGTATGTACTGCAACATAGAAAATTTTGTTTCAATGAATAAACTTTTTCTGTAAAAAGTCTGTGATTACCGAACACTATATAATGAGTAGATTGTGAATTAGCAACAAAAAAGAGGCTAAATTGAGCTATATAATCACTTTAAATGAATAAAGTCATAAAATGTGCTGTGTAATTACTTGCGTAATTGGAGCTAACA